GTAGAAATGGAATCACGGCTGGCAAATCCATAAAACCACGGCTCGAAAAATTCAGTCGCGGCTCGCCAAGTAGATATATTCCATACTAGATAATTATTACTAGCAAAAGTTTTTCTGTGCATACTAGTGTCTGTTTAAGGAAGAATGTTGCTTTTCTTAATTTACAAATGATCTTGAAGATTAGAGTCATTTCACATTCTGAAGACTGTGTTTACGCTCCAAGACTATTTTGCATTGCTATACCCCTAACGCGACGACTGCTGTGAGCGCAATCTTCATTGCGCAGCTGGCAGTGTTATCCAGACTGTCAGCGTGGGAGATTGTCTGCCGGAGGCTGCAAGCCGCTCCTCTAATTTAAGGTCGGCGTTCACAAAACTCAAATTACTAAGGTAATTTAAAATTGATGTGTAATTGCACCATGGCGAGTATATTGACTATGCAAGTCTGTCGCGAGTCGAACTGACAATAATAAAATGTAAGACATGTCCGGGTTACTTCTGACTCTTCCGCTTGTCCGCCTTGTCGGATACGGAACGTACGGTAATCGTAAACTGCGGCGCGGCTATTATACATATGAAATGTAAACAGACGGTGTTCAGTATTGCCATATGACTTTGGAGAAAATTTCTTCTAAAATAAAGTTCTAGATTTCTCATTCACCAAATTTCCGTATCAAGAAAAATTATATAGGTATTATTGAAAGATAATTAAATTAAAGGCATACTGTACTGCATAGTGGCAAACCACAGCTTTTTTAGAATCAGTTCATTTTCAATTTCCTCATTTACCTAAGATCCAGGTCTCATAGTGTGGCACAAGAGTCGTTGTAAAATTTATCTCAAGGTCATCTGGTCGTTGAACAACCGCATGCCAGTCGATAGTCGATAGGATTTATGCAGTCGATAGTCGATAGGTTTCTTCAGTAGTTCGATAACTTAATAATGAAAACACTAATGACTTGTCGTTAATAATGAGATAACCTTAAGTCTATGTACATTATATTCTTTATATACAACAAACACCTAACAGATAATGCATTAATGTTTAATTTTTCAAACCAGCAGTGCCTTCTTAGGTTTCTTTACTAATGAATTCACCGCTTCACCTCACCGTAAATATTGTGCGTAAACAAATGCAAGCTTTCCCTAAAATACAGAGGTCACACCTTACTCTTATCCAGAACTGCTTACTCAGTTTTAAATACTCAATCACCAGAATTATCAAACCTCAACTCTATTTAATATATGGCTACTTGCATTTGTTAGACAAATGCAAGCCACTCACAAATGGGATTCGCGAATTTCATATTCTCTCAGGCATATCCAAGAATACCAGTTAGTTACAATGGGAAGAAATTAAAACTACGGATGTGCACCTCTGTTGTTCACGTGCGTACTGCAAATTTAAGCATAACACATTCCTGAATCATTCATCACAGAGTGAATTTCAATAAATGAAATGATCTAAACGTAAAAATCAACCTTGTGAATCAATTCACGACAAGTACAAGAATCGGCAACAGGACATGGGCCTATTTCTTCACTGAATCGACACTTTCGCAGACCCGCCTGCGGTCCTGGCTGCGGATTCGCGCAACTGGGTTCATAAGTCCTTCAATACTGAACGAATTTGCTTGAATTTTAATATGTGAGTTACGAGTAAACATTATCGATACGCTGCCGCAGGAAGTAATACAGATTTTTACAAAAATTATATTTTAAGCAAGAACAATAAACATTTTTTTTCTCAACCCAGACACTCATAAGTCCTTCAATACTGAACGAATTTGCTTGAATTTCAATATGTGAGTTACGAGTAAACATTATCGAACGCTGCCGCAGGAATTAATACAGATTTTTACATTAATTAGTTTTTAATTAAAACGAATAAACGTATTTTTTAGGCAACCTAACGATTCATAACTCCTTCAATACATAACGGATCTGCTTACAATTAAAGTATCGAGATTCAGATGCAGTAAATGAAAAATAGAATATGCGCACTTTATTTATGGTATTTAATTTCACGATAGGGGGTTTCTTCCCAAGGCACGTGGATGAGCATTCTTTCAACTGGGTAGCATATCATAATTAAATCACGAACAAGAACTNCACGCATAACATGAATACAGGCCTTATGATATATTCATATATATCATATACAGACTGTCAGATGTGCGTATTAAGTTGAAGTGCGTGAATTTCATGCACACAAACATCGTAATATTTTGCATACAAATTTTCAGATGTACGTAATCGGTTAAAATGCACGAATATCATGCATAAAAACACCGCAATATATTGCACACCTACATGCTCTTACATGTCAAGGTTAAAATAAAAATATAACATGCAGAAACTTTCCTCAAGAAAGTTTGATTCTAGCTTCTAAGTGAAAAAAAACACTGGCGTAATCTGTCCGATTATTTTTGCAAGCTTCAATACATATGATGGTTGCGTTGTCCTGGGGCTGAACATTTTACATCCGCCGCTCGTAATGCGCTGTTGGGGTCCGGGTTTTAGTCAGTACCGCAGTTGTATCTTGTCGGGTCTCGCTAAGTCGCTTGTTGGCAGTCGTCAGAAGTTTATTGTGAAAGAGTCCCATTAGTTGGCAGTTGTTGAAAAAGATAAATGACCTATTATTTTAGCTCGAAAGTCGTTGTAAAGTAAAAAAATTGGTCGATAACTTCAGCGAAAGTCGTTGAAATTACAACGACTATTGCCATTGTATGAGACCTGGCCCAAGATTTAAACCAATTTCTTAAGTATGATGATGCTAGTATCCAGGATACTTTACTGGTCTACTTATAAGACTCAAAAATGAACTTGAGAGAGAGTCTAAAAAACTCTCTGCTTTGCCACTATGCTGTACTGAGTAATGTGAGTATTACGTCCGTTCCTCCACAAACTGCTTGTGCGCGGCAGCGCGACGTAGAATTGATGGCCGGGATTGCGCAAACACGTGCGCGAAGAGAATCAATTTTCATTACATTGCGCCAAGTGTGCACAGCAATAGCTTAAAAAAAGTGAAAATGTACAGGAAAATTCACCAAAAATTTATGCCAAACTTTTTAGTAAGGATTTAATGGAGATAATTGGCATTAAAATAACCTAAAAATTATTATCTTGCTAGTCTATAACAATAACATTAATACCTAACTTGCTTTGACTTCTAACTCTAACAGAGTGGCAAAGCAGAGAGGTTTTTAGACTTTCCCTCAAGTTCATTTTTGAGTCCTATAAGTAGACCAATAAAGTATCCTGGATACCAGCAATATCATACATGAGCAATTAGTTTAAATCTTGGGTAAACAAGGAAATTAAAAATGAACTGATTCTAAAAAAGCTCTGGTTTGCCACTATGCTCTAACTTGTAAGTTGTAACTTCTAAGCACACAGCAAGATTTTGTTGCGACTGTAAAAAGTTATTCTGTAGTAGCATTAAACTTGTAGGATCTTAATCATGAATATTTTTCTTATTATGTAAGTTCAGTTTTGAAATGTATATTAGTCACTAATCTACTCAGCACTCATGTCCTGTCTGTGCTGTCTCAGGAGTCTTGAATCTATATCCTACTCTGGAGTCTGGAGCGAGGCGAGGAAACCATATAAATGACTCACCTTTGAATTTTTATATTTTTCAGCGATCCAGTTTTCTCTTTACCATTCAATTCAGTTAGGCTACAAGCTAAATACAATTTTTTTGGCTTCATAGTGAAAAAAATTAACAATAAAATTAGTTTTCACCATAGCTTTCTTCTGCACCTATCGCGATCACAGTGACCTGCCAACTAATGTTACAACACGCTGAGAACGTACGGTAGGTCGATGTAGTAAGCGTGTGAGTGACAGGATGTTCGTGTCACTGAAGCAATCAGGAAATGAAACACAATATTATTTTGCAGCAGTGGAATGAATCTAACTTATTAATTAAATTGAATTTCCTTGACAAATATTGTCTGAACATACATCTTATTGAAAAAACCACCTCGGGAAGAACAATGAAGCAATCAGGAAATGAAACACAATATAATTTTGTAGCAGTGGAATGAATCTAACTTATTAATTAAATTGAATTTCCTTGACAAATATTGTCTGAACATACATCTTATTGAAAAAACCACCTCGGAGTCCACCATTCGAAATCGAAAAAAACACCATTGGGAGTCAAGTTTCAGCCGTGGTCGAGAGCGGACGCTCGTGTTTTGCGGTCTCAGATTTTTCAACTTTTAACTTTTACTGCGCCGTTTTCGGAACTCTTTTTGCATTTTTTTATGATCCGTGTCAGTGAATGACTGAATTTTCAGTGAAGTCAGTAAAAGACAGTGCGAATAGAAAAAAAAGCCTATAGTAAAAGTGTTTCCATCTGAAATAACGCGATTTAGAGTCAGCGAGGGTCGCCAAGCAGCGAGGGTAACGTGCACTGCCTCGCCAGCGTAGAACAATAGAGCCCTTGTTTTATGCTCAAGCTTACCTTCTCTACCCTGAACACCTTTGCAGCCGCTGACTGAAAGCCGCTTATTCTCAAGTCTGTAACCGAGTTTTTACAGCACTTTGCAAACTTTACAATTTTTACTCAACTTGATTCAGCTTTAACTTGTGTTTTTTTAGCTCTTGCATTTCATGATGGCTGGTCAGAGAGGAAAAAAATTAAATGAGACGGCCTCCAGTCTTGTTAAACAGAATTCGATGATCAAATTGCAAAATGAGCGAGGAGAAATTAGTAAATTTTGCAAGCTGGGATCGCTTAACATCAATGACGCTACAGTGGCCTGTGATCGTTTCGAGGATACCATCTGCAACAATTGTGCAAAGTTGAGCAAGACAGACTGCTCGGTTATCCGTAAAAACAAGTCAGTACACTGGTACTGCCAGGACTGCCAACAACCTGCACTTAGCGCTGTAAAAAGCGAAAAAATTGTGGAAGAGAAGTGCTCTTCTATGTTTTCTGTTTTTAAAGACGAAATTGAAGAAACCAACAAGCAAGAGTTGAGAAAGAGAGCCGAAATGGAGGAGAACCACAAGAAAGAATTGAGCTTGCTACGTAGCGAATTACTTTCGTTACGAAACGATCATGTGGAAATGAAAGCTCATCTGCACAAAACAGAAAATAGCGATAACACAGAAGGTAAAGGCCGCAAAGAGGTCATCTCTGATCTCGCTAACGAGAGCACTCGTGAACTGCTGGATAGAGAGAGAAGAAGACTTAACCTTGTTTGGTTTAACGATCCCGAAAGCAATGCTTCAGATGCTGAATTTATTACTGATTGCTGTGCCAAGGCACTTAACGTCGTTGTGAATATAACGGCATGCAAGAGGCTACGAAAGACGCTACCACCTGTAGACCGCTGCTTGTAACTGTGCAGGATACAGCCCAGGTCGGACATGTGCTTAAGGCTGCGAGAAAACTAATTGAATTCACAGAGTTTAATTCAGCCTTTGTTAAGAAGGATGCTACCCCTTTAGAGAGAGAAAATTTTCGCAAGAAATGGCAGGAGAGACTCAGGCGGAAAAGCATGGAGACTCGGGTCAGCCACTTTCATGATGTCAAGACAACACCGACCGCACACGGTCGGTCAGCGGAGCAAGACAAGTAAGAAGTCATGTCCATAGAACCAGGCTTGTAAATAATGTAAGAAATAAACGCATGAATCAAAGTGAAAGTGCACAAAAAGCTGTAAAATGTTTTTACACGAACTCGGATTCCGTTTTGAACAAAAGAAGTGAACATTTAAGTGTGATTGAAAACGAGCGCATAAACATTATTTGTATTACAGAAACACTCCCTAAAAATCACGGGGGGAAAATTGTACCTGTTGAATTTCAGTTGCCAGGTTTTGATTGTTTTCATAACTTGAATGAAGAGCAGTGCAGAAGAGGTGTAGCTTAATTTATGGGTTAGAATCTCTTACGGGGCCCAGCAAGTAAAGTTATCTGCAGAACATCAATCAGCTAGAGAATCAGTGTGGTGCGAACTTACTCTAAAAGGCAAAGATAGCCTCCTCATAGGCGTCGTGTATAGATCACCAAACAGTTCTTCTGGTAACGATAAAGTACTAAACAGTCTTTTACCGAGCATGACTTTCCATAGGTCACACACGTTGATCGTTGGTGATTTTAATCATCCATGGCTAGACTGGATAGATGGATCCTCTCCAAGGGAAGAGAATCACCCAGCATCCTTGTTCATGGAGTCAGTAAGAGACTCCTTCCTAGTCCAGCACGTTACAAAACCAACCTATTATAGAAGTAATCAGACTCCCAATATTCTTGACCTGGTGTTTAACAGTGATGAATCAATGTTGGATGAGCTTCGTCACGAGGCTCCGTTGGGCAAAAGCCATCACCAATCATTGTTTTTCAGACTTAATTGCTGTACATAAAAGACGCCTCGGAAGCGTGAGCGTTTGAATTTTGCGAAAGGAGACTATGATAAACTCCGTGAAGCAGTGAATGCAGTGAATATTTCGAACTGTATTTAGGACATGAATGTGGCTGACTCATGGTCACTTCTCAAGGACACGGTTATGTCTGCAGTTGATGCCTGTGTACCTAAAATTAAGCTTGGTGGAGCAAAAAAAACTCGGTGGATGAACAGTACAGTTTTAGCTAAACTGAAAACAAAGAAGGAAGCATACCAGCGTTATTTACAGACTCGTAGAGATTTTGCCAAGGCATTTGACAGTGTCCCACATGAGCGGCTGTTGCGTAAATTGAAGTCTTTGGGAATTGAGAGTAATGTACTCAAATGGATCAGAGACTTTGTAGTAGGGAGGCCACAACGTGTCAGTATTAATAGGTCCGTATCAGACTGGGCTCCAGTGCGCAGCGGCGTGCCACAAGGAAGCGTTCTCGGGCCTATTCTATTCGTTGCGTTTATAAACGATCTGCCAGAAGCTGTGTCTAGCGTTTGCTCGATGTATGCTGACGACACAAAAATTTATAATACAGTGAATAATACGTCGCAAAAAGTAAAGTTGCAAGGTGATCTTGACAGGCTGGTTGACTGGGCTGATAAGTGGCAGCTGCGTTTTAACGCTGACAAATGTAAAGTTATCCACCTTGGCAAGAATAATGAACAGCAAGATTACAGTATGAGAAGACACGGTTGCAACGACAGAGTGATGATGTCGAAGTCGACAACGGAAAAGGATTTAGGAGTTAATGTCGACAATGAGTTGAAATTTTCGAATCATATTTAAGGTCAAGTTAATAAAGCCAATAAACGACTTGGACTGATCAGACGCTCTTTCGAGTTCCTAGATGCAGAAGCGATGAAGCAGCGCGACAATATTTCTTCTCGCTTCGAGTCACCGATATGTGGAACAGCCTCCCTGAAGATATTGTTGACGCTCCGAGTATGGACGCGTTCAAGAACAGACTAGACAAGACCATGCAGGAGCATATGTTTAGTCTTAAAATGCCTAGTATCCTACTGAATAAGTGAAATCTAGAAGCGATTTTAAATCTACCGTCCGTTGAAAAAATTTGATCAAGAGGCCAGTCTAGCCAAGAAAAGTACAAGAATCGGCGACAGGCCTATTCTTCAATGCCGAAGATACTATACTCAGAGCTGGACAGCGCTACTTTGAAATGTAGCTCCGCTACCGCTACATGCTCTAAATGTAGCGGGCGCTACCGCTACCGCTACCGCTACCGCTACATCCACTAGATTGTAACTGGCGCTACCGCTACCGCCACAGTCAAATGTAGCGCGCTACATTAGCCGCTACAATGGCCAAAATTATTAAAAATCTCTTAATATTTATTGTTCTGCTATTGGGATTTATTCATTAACATTTAATGATAATAAAACATTTTTAAAACATATCAATGCAACTTTATTGCAATTAACCTAACCGAACTAGTATGGGTTAGATACAGTAAATAAAAGCTACAGTTATTTTTATGTTTTACCTTCCCTACATGGATGTGCCGAAAATCAGTCTACGGCCTTCTACAAAAAATCCGAGCTGAGAAATAAACTTTCCTCAGTCGGACTCACAGAGCATTAATTATTGTTAGAAGAAATGCAGTAATGAAGGTTTGGTCAATGCATTTATACTCGTTCGATGTTTTATGAAACTTTGTGACAAATTCTGCTTAAATTCCAAAATTTATGCAGAATTTTGTGTGGGTTGTTTTTAAATTTACATGCAAAGTCAATTCTACTTTAGATTAGGAAATGACGAATTCGTTGCAATTTGTCATATGAACTAAGCATTTAAATAAAAGAAAACTCAAAAAAATTCATTTTGTCTGCAGTGAAAACTTATCAGAGTCCAGCTCCATCATCAGTACAAAAACTTCATTAATACGATTTTGACCAAAATAGGACCTACAAATTGCCTATGGAATGCAAAACCTATTGAATAGGTTTCAACTGTTTCAAGTGGATACGAATTCATAACATCGTTTACTCAGATGACGGCATAGTTTAAAGAAGGTGAGAGAATACCACGGGCAGCTATCGCTATAAAAGTTTCACCACGATGGTATGCTGCTAATCTATCCAACGCAGCTATTTATAACCGTCCAATTGTCAAACTCCGAAGAAGAGGATCAACAATGATTGAACCGTAACCGATGACAAGAGCAGCCACTTAAAGTGCTATTTTCGAGGTGCTACTTCAAGATCCCGAATAAATTTATCGAACTGAAACTTTAAACGCGTGCTGCGTCTAAGCTTTCCCAGGATTTCTAAGTAGAAGCCGAGCCAACTGCCACAACCAAACATGACTGAGGCTGCATCTTTCCATCACAGAAGACCCGGTGCGGTACTCGATAGTAGCTCTATCGTCCCCTTAGATAAT